CTTTTGCCGCTGAGCTAAATCCCCAGCCCTATATGTTCTAATATATTATAAATGTTTAAAATGAGGGCAAAGCACAATTTAGATAGTGTTATTATTAATTGCAACTCCATTAATCATATTATTTAAATAAAATATACTGTACTTGAAGTAACTATTTTCTTATTTCAGTAATGGAACATTTAAATTTTTCCTTAAGTATATGCTATGATTTTGTAAGGAAAAGACATTTTGATCTCTGATCCTCCAAACTTAGACAATATTTGGCATAGAGGAGATATAAACAATAAAAACCTGTATAAGTACTGGATAGAACCTATGCTTTTTTATTTTAGGAAAAAAATTTCATAACAAAATTATAGGAGAATAACAATAGTTAATACATTGTGTATTGTTATCTTTAAAGTAGTTACTTAGAGTATAAGATATGGGCATAAAAAATTCTCTAGTCAATATTACCTTGAAACCCTTTTTTTCCACAGAAAATGATCACTGTTATCTGGGCTGTTTCAACACACTTGGAGATTTCCTGTTTGCTTTTATCCTTTTTGGAAATGTTCAAAGGAATAAGAGATGAGAAATAATAGTTCTTGTTTATGTCTGCATCATGACTAAAAGATCCCCAGTAGTCTGTTTAACAGCATCTACACTGTTGAATTACTCAGAGACTGTGGTAGAGATATATATTCATGGCAATGAAAAGCAATCAAAGATGGCAAGATAGTGGGTTAAATAATCCTTAGTTATTGCAGGCTGATCAGGCCTGCAATCTCCCAAGTGAGTGGACTGAGAAGGCTTAAATAAATGAGACAATCTCTTTCAGTTTCAATATTCTCTGAGTTTAGCCAAAGACTTCTCTGGGCAGCCCGTACTTACTTGGTTTTCAAACAAAGGAGGAGGATACTCAAGAAAAGGCAGGAATCTGGGCAGGACTTTTTCAAGTAATACATTAGTTAATTTAGGAGAACTATGTTATCTCCAGGAAGGCCTTCACAGCAGGAGTGAGATGCCTGCAGCTAGTCTCCTGTAAGTTAATTGGGGTTGGAGCCAAATGTCCTTAGCTGTGGCTTTATCTTTTCTTTTGAGGTGTCAGCTTCACAGGCCAATACAGGCCTCATGCTTACCAGTCACTCATAGAGGTTTACTTATTATGAGTCAGCTACCCATCTTCAGACAAGGTACCTGAGCTTCAGACAACTCACAAGTAAGCACGGACAGCCAAGTGGTTAATATTAAATCCAGCTCACAGCCACTTTTTAGTGGTCCCCAACAGCAGGAAACGAGAGAATGCACTTTGAAGAGATAAGAAGGGGATTTTGGTTGGAGGGGTGAGGGGAAAACTGGCAGGGGAAAGGGAAGCAAACATAAAATATCATGAAATTCTTTAATTTTTAAATGCTATTTTACTGGACTCAGTATATTTGCACATCTTAAAGCATGTTTAAAAGTAAACAAGCAACAGGAAGAAGGCTGGGCATGGTGGTGCACCCCTGACTGAGGCAGGAGGATTGTTGTGAGTTTGAGACCACTTTGGGCTAAAAAGTGAGCTGAAGGCCAGCCTGAATGGCGTGGCAAGATGCTGTCTTGCAAAGACAAAAACAAAACAAAACAAAACAACAAGCAACAGGAAGAAAGACAAGTAACCTTTATGTTTGCGATAGTTCACCTCTGGGACTCACTTCATTTTTGGTTTTACTGACTATTGTAAATTGTTTACACTGGTGAAGTCAGTACATCTAACAACAATGGGATTTTTGTTGGAAGAAATAATACTATGACAAAATTTTATTAAGTTTCAATTTTTAAAGAGAAGAAAAATAGAAACAAAATAAAACAGAGTTTCTCATCTGGCTAATAGGACAATAACCTTTGCACATTGTTATCTTCACAGGAATTACTTAGAGAAACTGTGATGGGGAAAAGGGAAAAAAGAAAAAAAAAATCCCCAAGATAGTTAAGACAGAAAAACAACTAGTTTTTCTTAGTTCATTGAAAAGAAGGTCTGTGCTAATATTGCTTACACAATATTTCCTGCCTATATCTTGTACTCTGAATAACTACTATGTAGACAACAATATGCAATGTATTGATTATTGTTCCTGTCCTACTAGCTCGTTTTGAAACTCTTTTTATTGTTTTTTAAAACTTTTTTCTCTTTAAAGTAAAATAATAAAATTAAAATTAAATCAAGTTTCAAACATTCCTTAGCTGAAATCCAGGCTGTGCAGATGGGGGATATTTTCCCTGTTTCTGTGAATAGCATGAGCACAGAGAGGAGGGAGAGGTTCACACACTGTGTAATAGCAACAAGTCAGTGACAGGGATTTCATGTTGATTTTCTCCCTCTCAAATGGGGCACTGTCTGCTATGGAGTCAAATAGAAATATTATTCTCTGTGCAACATGAAATTCCTCGGTCAATAATCATACAAAGACTATCTCTATGTATATATCTGTGATACTATGACAGAATGCATTAGCAGTAATAGATTATATATGATTAGGACTTTTTTGCAACAATAATACAGGTGGTTAATAGTAAAGTAAAATGACCCCTGATTATTGTAATTTATATTACTATCTTCACCACAATATTTTCTAGAAATTTTCATGTGTGTAATATGGAGAGAAGCAGCAGGATTTGCAAAGTTTGTAATAACAAACTCACTAAATGCTATTCCTGCCTCAGGCAATGCTATGCATGAGAAAATATTTGGACTCGATGTATGTAATTAACAGAGACTTAAAATATGTGTCCTTTTAATATAGTTCATGGAGCTAGATGTTACACTGTAGATTACATATGGGAGCATTTTTAGGTAAGAATCTTATAAACATGCTATGGATTCACAGATCAGTAAGGACATGTATATACTGATAGTAAAACACACCCCTTGATTCCACAGAAGCAGCAGCAGCTTCTTTTTGAAAGCATGTATGCAGTGGAATGAAATCACACAGATACACCAAGATCACAAATTGCATAGTTGGTGATTAAAACTCCTCTAAAATATTAGTTCTGATGCATGTACTAAATGTTTATTATTAAAATACAGCCATATTTATAGAAAATATTAGTGGCATATTTTCTAAATGTTAGGAAATATTCAAAGACTATGGTTCTTACTCAAATCTGGTATGGGAAAGGACAACCAAGATCATAACATGCAAATAGTTAGGAAAAAAAAGTTTTGGTTCATGGCCAGGGTATCTTGATATGTTAAAATATTCACAAGTAAGTAATCAATAAATGAGGCTCAGTACTACCAGTCTACACAATTTAAAATATTCTTGACAGCTTTTTACAATGACAAAATAATCTAAGTTATTATTGCCTCTGACTTACAGATGAAAATATGCCTAGAAGTATTTACTCTATTACTGTTCTTTTTGTACTTTTCTCCAATAATCATATTGTGACTTGACTAATAAACTCAACTTGTCTTCTGGATAGTTTACTGAGATAGAATGGGGTTGCTATAAATAAATTTGCAAAAATAAACAAATTCAGAAGTGTTTTATAGGTTTCTGTCATTTTTTCATCTTTAACACCGTAGTAATGATCCATGGTGGATGATGATATTGGAAATGTACATTTTTGTGTCTTTTATATTTAGTTACTTATATAAAAATTTGAAGGCCACCAAAATTAAGTACTATATATATGCAAAATTTCCAGAGGACTTCATTCATAAAAGAAGGGAATCAGAAAACACAAATAACTGGAATCTCCTGGAGTATAACTGGTAAATAATGTTTTATGGTTGTGAACTAGCAAGTTTAATTTAGTATAGAGTAATGCAGTTCTTCATCTTGCAGTGATTTACATGTTTTAAGTGAAAGGAATGTGTACTGTTGTTCACCACTTGCTGTGTGCTCTTCCTGTTTTCCAAACCTCTTTCCTTTTTCAAAGGTGTCCAAACAATACAGAAACACAAAATCTAACACGTGTCTCACAATTCCACTTCATGGATCTCTCAGAGGATCCAGACCTGCAGCCCATCCTCTTTGGGGTGTTTCTGTCTGTGTACTTGGTCACAGTGCTGGGGAACCTGCTCATCATTCTGATTGTCAGCTCTGACTCCCGCCTCCACACCCCCATGTACTTCTTCCTCTCCAACTTGTCCTTTTCTGACATCTGCTTCATCTCCACCACGGTCCCAAAGATGATTATGGACGTCTGGTCTCAGAACAGAGTCATCTCCTATGTGGACTGCCTGACACAGATGTCTCTGTTTATCATTTTCATATGTTTGGATGATATGCTTCTGACGGTGATGGCCTATGACAGGTTTGTGGCCATCTGTCACCCTCTGCGATACCATAGCATCATGAACCATCATCTCTGTGGATTCTTCATTTTTGTGTCCTTTATATTTAGTTTGTTGATTTCCCAGCTGCAAAATTTGACCATTTCACACTTTACCTACTTTAAGGACACAGAAATTACTAACTTTTTCTGTCATCCTTCTCAACTTCTTAATATTTCCTGTTCCGATACCATTACCAAAAATCTAGTCATGTATTTTGTTGGTGCCATCTCTGGTTTTCTTCCTCTCTCAGGAATCTTTTTCTCTTACTACAAAATTGTTTCCTCCGTTCTGAGAATCCCATCATCAGTGGGTAAATATAAAGCCTTCTCTACCTGTGGGTCTCACCTCTCAGTTGTTTGCTTATTTTATGGAACAGCCATTGGAGATTACTTTGCATCTGCTGCATCAAATTCTCCTAGAAATAGTGCAGTGGCCTCACTGATGTACACAGTTTTCACTCCTATGCTCAACCCCTTCATCTACAGCCTGAGGAACAAGGACATTAAAAGTGCCCTGTGGAGGATGCAGAACCCAACAAGGTAATCTCATTATCTCCTTTATTCTTCCTTTACTTGGCTTTGGAAAAGTAGTCATCTTGTCTTAGAACTGCTCTCCTCTTTGTCTTTGGTCAACTTATTCTTGAAGTTCTGGATGCACTGTGTGAACCATAATGGAATACCATTTCCTTTGCTTTGCCTTTAATTGTATTGAGTGAATGTTCCGGAATTCTTTTCATCATAAGCATTGTGACTTCAACAGTAAACCCAGGCAGACTCTGTAGTCCCTGTGCAGTGACCTTGTCTCCAGGTGAAATGTGAAACTCCCTTTACAGGTGTGCTTAAAATTGATGTCCTTCTTCACAACTCATGTATATTGTCTTTAAAAATTGTATCTAAGACATACATTTAAGTATGTTACATCTTACTGTCATATAAGGGGTTCTCAGAGTTGTCTTTTATTAGAATCACCTGGGAAGGCTAAAAACACTACTACTTGGGTCCCTTTAACAAAGCTTATGACTTATACAGATCTGACTAAATATGAGGTGTTTATAAAACTTCATAGAAGACTTAGATGCCGGTGCTTAAAAGGATCAAGCTCCAATGGACAGAGAGAAATGGGCTTGCGATGGCAGTCAGTAGGTGATGTGCTTTCTTTAAGTGTCTTCTTTGAATGCTTTGTCCTTCAACCACACGAATCTTATCATTATGATAGCTGGTTTTAAGGGTATCTTCCTGCTCTATTCTGCCCTTCAAATATTTACCTTTTGCTGTTGAGTGGGGACTTCTGGCATTTCTACTCTGTCACTCAGGGTCAGCAAATTTTAGTACCTTAGAAATTCATTTTATTCCAGTATTTCTTTTATGTCCTCAGGCCCTCTATGTTTTAGATTCCCCCTTTAGAAACTATCTCAATGATCACATTGCTCATTTTTGCCTTTATGTTGCAGTGACTATTTAACCCACTGTCCATATTCAATTTTCTCCACTAAAATGACTTTATGTATATTTTGTAATCCTATGAGTGATAAATGAGTGACAAGGCTATGAGTGATAAATCCTAACATGGGAAAAAGTTATGTTGTCAGTTATCCATAACTGAAGTATTTAAAAATATGCTCAAGAAATAAATCTGGTTTTAAATATACAGTCATGTTCAGGTGCCCAGCTGGAGTCAGTGGTGGTCTCATGTTTTTAGCTACACTATGGCTGTAATGGTGTTTGAGTATTGTCGTCAACATCTCATTGCTAGTAAATTGAGTTTTGCTGCTCTTGCTTTACCCCAAGGTTCATACTACCAACCTATTTTTTCACCTAATTCATAGCCAAAGTCTTTGAAAATTGTGACAGTAATGTTATATTCTGACATCATATAGTGGACACACTTTGCAGGTAAGGTTTTGTGTTTTCTTCTTTTATTCAGCGATTTTGAAGAATTTTATGATGTATTATCACTTCCCAATGTAAAAGGTAGTAAAATTCAGAGTAGCTACCTCAAAGTGGTGTAACCATCTTGACTAAGATAAGTGTTATACCAAAGGGTGAAAACCACACAATAATCTCAATAGAAACACAAAAAGAATTTGAGAAAACTCAACACCCTTTCAGGATAAAAAAGAAAAGTCACAAAAACATATATAGAAGGACATTAGCCCTTATCATATGATAATGGACATTAGCCCATTATCATAAATGTTACTTATGACGAACCTTCCCAACTTAATAATTAATGGGGAAAATCTAAACACATTTCCTTTATAAATATGAAAATGACAATGGTGTCCCCTATCCTCACTCTTGCTTAATATAGTACTCAAAACTACCCAAAGCAATCAGTTAAGAGGAAAAAAATGCAAAGGATAAGCACTGGAAAAGAAGAAGTCAAATTTTCATTGTCTGCGGAAGACATTAACCTCTACATACCTTGTACTTAAATCAAACCAAAATGGACCAAGTATCTACATATGAAAACAGAAACACTAATGGGTTGGAAGATAAAACAGGGAAACATCTTAAAGACATAGGCAAGGACTTTCTGAACAGAATCCAAATTGCACAATAGACAAATGGTTATATCAAACTAAAAATCTTCTGCACAGAAAAGAAAATAATCAACAGAGTGAAGAGGCAAACTGTAGAATAGGGAAAAAATTTACAACTACTCTCTGGAGGACTAAAATCTAGAATGTATAACAATTAACAAATTAGACCCAGACACAAAAGAGCAAATTAAAAATGGGCAATTGAAATAAATAGTCACCTCTCAAGAGAAGAAATAAAAGTGACCAGTAAGTATACGAAAAAGAAGTTCACCATTTCTGGTCATTAGAGAAATGCAAGTCAGAACAACATTGTGGTTCCACCTTTATCCAGTAAGAATGGCTATTATCAAGGACTCAAAAAATAAAGCAAAAGGACAACAATAAACAGCAACAACAACAAATTCTGGAGAGGCTGTAGGGAAAAAAAGAACTCTTTGCTGTGGTGAGAATGTAAATTAGTACAAGCACCACTGAAAACAGTATGAAGATTCCTCAAAGAACTAAAAATAGAAATTCCATCTGAACTAGGTGTACAGTACTTGTTCTCAGTACTTTCCCTAAAGAGCTAAAGCCATCATATTACAATAATATATTCATACCCATGTTGATGGCAGCAAAATTCACAATAGCTAAATTGTGGAAGCAGCTTACATGCCCATTAACAGATAAATGAATAAAGAAAATGTACATATGTGTACACTAAGGAGTACTACACTGCCCTACATGAATATAAAGGACAATTACTTGTTGGAAAATTGTGGATCTTGAGGCTGTAATATATCACCTGATTCCTTTTGTATGAGAAACTCCAAATGAAAATAAAGAGCAATGAGGGAAAAATTGTAGAAAACAAAGGTAGACTTCATGGAGTCAGAGAGGGAGTTTGGAAAAGGCGGAAGATATAAGGGTCATAGAAGGGGATTAAAGGTTATTATGCTACAATATGTGTGTGTTCCAAATTTCTAAAATACATGCACATATTATATAGTATACACATATACTAATAAAGAATAAATGTAAAAAGATAGGGATGCAGATAAGAGAAAGAATGCTTATTCATGAAAGATACTTTATCACTTATGTCTTTGTTCCTAAGCTAGTAATTTTGGCAACTCTCAGGTCCTCTTTGAATCTCAGATTCCTAGTGAGTAAATTAACTGCAGAAGTGAGTTTCTTCCAAGGTGGTAGAATGATCATGTTCAATTATGCTACAAAAGTCACCTTCAATGGTAACTGTATTATCACATTAAAAGATTTACCTTTAAATGTGCATTCCTAGAAATTGTAAGTAACCTGATATTACAAATTATTCACCTGGAGCATGATACAAACCATAGTTTTATTTCACATGCACATCAGGAGTATAAAAAACTCTTACTCAAATGCCTGATTAGAAGAGATAATCAAATGTAGTGATTAGAAGGGCATTTAGTCCATAGAATTTGACACATGGGAAAAACTCATTATCAACATGTTATTGGTAAATGGCTTTGCAGCCTGAAACTTCTTTTCAACCTCTACTGAAAGTTGCCAGCTGAATGGACTGGGGCACATTTTTGACCTCTCATGGCTTCTAATTGCTCATTTTTAATTGTTCTGATATGAAGGAACTCTAGGATGAAACATATCAATTATATGTCTGGTAGGAATTTAGTAAATACAACTATCATTGTTATCATCAACTATAGTGTTGATATAATTCAAGTTAATGATTGGCATTCTAACAGTGCTTTATTCCCTGAGAACTGACAGACCATCACACATCTATGTTGACACAATGAGTTCTTGACCAGGTAAAAACAAAAGCAGTGAAATTGATATCATTTATCTATCAAATAAAAATTTAGTATGGTGAAGCAAAGTTATCTCCTTTCTCCCCTTTCTCCATCTCTGTCATCTCTGTGTCTCTGTCTCTCTGTCTCTCTCTCTCTCTCATACACACACACACACACACACACACACATCAATCCTATCAGTTCTTTTTCCCCAGAGACCTTGAATAACATAGTGAACAATTTATTTAACAACATACAGAGGAGACATGTACCTAATCTCTGCCAACCATACACTGGACTTTCAATTTTTGAAGGAAAGAATTCCAGTTTCCTTTCACAATGTTCATATTTTCCATGTTCATTGGAGATATTCTTTATGGTTTTAGAAAAAAAACAAAATTGATATCCATGTATCCAGCATGTCCTTATCTCAAACGAACAAAACAATCTGGCAGGTAAATATTGAACCACTTCTTACTGATTAAATGTAGGATTTGTTCATATTTTTTTATGACTATTTAATTATATCTAGATTTTTGAAAGATAATCATAGAAAAATGGGTGGGATTTGAAAAGGTCTAGAAATACTAAAGAGATTTAAAAAGTGAGGGTGTTTCTTTCAGCAAAGAAATACAAGACAGTAAAACAGCCATGTTGACTATCCTGCATATACATACATACAAAATTTCTCCTTCTTTCCCTTCTCTTTTCCCACATCCCAGTTGCCCTTTACCTTTGAGTGCTTTCCTATCATTTCACAATGTCTATCATGTCTCCTAGTTTACATTAACTCTTTCAGGTTTTACACTAGTGAAACAATGCAGTGCTTGCACATGTTGTTTGATTT